GACCGAATACGATGGGTTCAAGGCCCGCTGGCGAGACACGACATGCCATGAGCGAATCAAGGAGCTTGTGAAAAAGAACGCAGGCGACGGGAGGAGGGTAAAGAAGGCAATCTGTCTTGGGGTCGGCACGTTTGACCCCGAAGACGGCGGATGGGATGCCAAGAGGAGGAGTTACATACAGCTGGATGGGTTTCTGACTGTCGTGGAAGCTCTGTGTATGTATAGTTGCCGTTGTTCAAACGCCAATCAAAACTTACCAAGCAACAGCTGCCATCTACAACGAGACAATTCCATGCTCTTTCCAAGAACCGCGGTTCACACCCAATGACACCAAGTTCCTGGAGAAGCTCGGCCACGAAGTAGTCGAGTCCCCCGTTGCCTTTGAGGCCGTCGACGAGGAAACACTAGTGTTTGCAATTCACATGTACCGACCGATATACGAGGCTACGCTGGAAAAGGCGTTGCCAGCCATGTTCGTCGGCACCGGGTGGGATGTTTGGGATGGGTACGTTGTTCCCCTGGGTGAAAGTGATCTACACTGACACGCACAGAGCTGGAACGTTGAAGGACGGCGAGTTCAAGTGCATGAGCGATATGCATGATTCCCACAAGCAATTCGCCTTCCCTCAGGACTGGACGTACACCTCGTTCTCGAGTACTTGTATGTACTGGCGGCCGAAGCCCGAGTCATCAGTGGGGGAAGATCGGACTTCAGAGGCGCCCGAGCAAACCGAAGAGAAGGGTGCGGATAAGAAGGAAAAAACTATTGACGGCGAGGAGACGGAGCCATCGAGCTGAGGCTTGGGCTGATGTCGAGTGGACGGAGCGAAATGATACCCGGATGACGGTGGTTGAGGTTCAGGGTGCCGGACAGGCATGTGCGTCAGACAGCAGGGTGTGCAAAGTACACCGAACGTATGGCCATGCTTCTCGAGACCGTATGTGGAGCACACGAGTCTTTCTCCGGTTGCTTGCGGCCAGCTTATAATATTCATTGCTAGCACAAGTTTCCTCTGCCATTTCCCCAATCTGACATACGTTCTTCCCTACTCACCTATTCAAAGCTCCAAACATCCTTTGCAGGAAGTACAAGTTCCTGCTCAATTTAACACGAAGCATCTTGGGAACAAACCTTGCCTCGTTATCTACTTATCAGCAACAATACCGTTGACCGGCACCATGAGGAAGCATGTAGGGTCAGCGGTCCCGCACTTGGCAATCGGCGTCACATCTTACCAAAGTAGGCCTCCACTGAGTTACAACTCATTATCCCACCCGCATCGCGTGCAACACTACGACTCGCAGCCCTGGAAGAACATCGAACCGCAGGCTATTTTCGCGTGGGACTCACCGCACCCCCTAGCGCCCCAAACAGGTACCGGGCCGAGAATGCAAGTCAGGCTCTGCGTCAAAAGAACAGACCTCAAAAGACTCATGCGCGAAGGGTTCTTCTGGACCACTGAGAACTTCAACTTCAAAGCCACTTACACCCACACCCTGGATCACCGCAAGGAGCCCAAAAAGTTGGCGCAGATGGGATGGACGTGCGCTCGCAACTTCTTCTTGTCGGACCTGGGAGACGACCCTTTTTGGACGGCGAAGATGTCTGTCTATGCTCGCGACCGTGTTACTTTGGACAGTTTTGCCGTCACTGGCCTTAGCAGGAAGAACATGAGTTGGGCTCGCGCATGGGCAAAGGATGGGACGAGCGGCTATGTAGAAGATCTCTACAAGTGGGTATGTGACAGTCCCGAGTCTTTCTACAACAAAATATACGGCAGTTTGCCGCTGGATGGCTGGTGGCCATGGCCAAAAGCCGATGATGATGAGATGCTGCATTTTGAAGCAATGTTATACGAGTTGGGACCATCGCCATGATTTACGTTCGGTCAACTTTCTATTGGGCACGAATTTCAAAATTAATGGATAAATGAAGCCTATGACTTCAGATCACGAATGGTTGAGGACGACGAGCATAATGAACACTACGATGATGGCGAGGATGGCGAGGATGTGACAAGGGACCGGAATATGATAATTATCTAAACTAGACCACTAAGACTGTTGATTTTGAACTTCCATCGCAACATGCCAGTCCAGATGCTCGAGAACATCACCTGGCTGAACAGCCTCGCCGCAATTTGGACACATATAGTAGTGTTCCTCTGTCACATTCTCCGTTGCATCCGGAGACTTGTATGCATCAGATGATGCAACTATCTGCCGCTTAGCTGGACTCCCAGGAGCATCGCATACATCCTCTTCTCTTCCCCGTTTCCGAGGACTGCGAGAGTTGTCGGTGGCAAAGAAAGAGGTAATGCGCCCAGTTTGAGGCGCAGGTAATCCAGAATCTAGGTTGGACATGCTAACTGAGACGCCGAGGCACGGCCAGGACTCTCCATGCTCAGTGAGATCTCTCAAAAGGTCATGCAGCATAGTGAAAATGCTTTCCTTGTTGATCTCAATCTGAGGAGAAATGGGCGCCTGTTTTGAGCGTGTCGGTCCAAAGCGGCCATTGATATGGTGATGCACTGCAATTGTTCGTGGTCGTCGTGGGACTTCGGAGTCAAGATCGAGGTCGTGCAATCGAGATTCGAGGTCGGCTGCGAATATTCGGAGCCATTTGTCTGCTTGTTGCAAATTTTCCGCTTTTGGTATGAATGTCTTCGCGGCTAGTAATGACTGGACTTCGCTCCGTGGCCTGACGGGGCCCTTCTCGTCGCCTCTGATTGCGTTATACACCCACTGTCCGTCTTCGGCTCCCAGTTGCGATCTAATTTCCGTGAGCGAGACCTGGAGGAGATCACGGATGTTGTCGGACCCAAAGGTCTTGACAACCTTCTGGCCTAGTTGTCTTCCCAAGCCCGAGAGTGAAGTGGCTTTGAGGGTTGGCATGATGATGGGAATGGACTTGCGCCTCATTATTGTTTGGCCTGCTGGCTTGTTCATCCTAGACGCCGCCTTGGCGAGCATTTTGTTACAGCTTATGCCGGCAGAGGTGGTGAGCTGCAGCTGCTTCTTGATCTCCTCACGTATGTTCCGAACGATGCTACCCCCAATACTTAGTACTACGTCGTCCCAGTCGAGGACATCGTCAAGATCATTTAAGTCTGCTGGCATCATGACTTTGTCTTTCCCCCATTGCAGTGATGTGTCTGCCGCAGGCAAGGGTAGGTAATTGTCAAGACTCTTATTGGTTGGTGTCAGTGTAGGGAATCGTTCCACCAACGTTCGGTGGACTTGAGCTGATAAATCGAGGTAAAACTCATCCACGCCAGCCCTCTCAATCGTCGGAGCAGGCTTGTCTGGTAAAAGCTTCCTGACGAGATGCATGGTCTTTCGCGATATACCCCTGTAGGGATCAAGGGAGGCTTTATCCGTCTTCAGATGGTCCAGCACATCATCCCGGTACCTCCAGCGATCGTCGCCCTCCCTCCAAGTGGGAACGTGCTGGAGCACTATGTCTGGACAGATGCGACGTGCCTCATCGGCAGACATAATCCTCTTGGCGCCGCGCTCCTTGGCCGCGTAGTTCAGCGCGATGATGGCGTTCCACTGGCGGACCGCCAGGGGCTTGGAGGGGGGCAGACCAAGCCTGAGTGATTCATACTGGGCGTAGAAAGAGTCGTAGTCAACCAGCGCGACTACCCGTAGGGGTGATTCTGGCGAAGATTGTGACAGAAGCTGCAAGTCGCGATAGGTGAATTGTGAAGACGGCGCAGTCGGATGAGCCGGGGATGCGCCGGTATCGTCGGACATGGGCGGACTCTGAAATTGAGAGAAATGTAACCGGTGCTGTCGCAGCGTCTTTTGGCGTAAAACTGGCTGCTTCAGCCGGAGACATATGCAAGATTAAGGTAATTGCAGGCAGATATCATGTTCGAGGGAAGTAGTCAAAGTAAGCTACTTTTTGCTGTGAAGCCTGTGGAGTTCCGTTTCAATAGCGTCATAGCTCGCGTGAGATCTTGTTAGGGGGCAAACTTAGATCGCACGGAGCCTCTAACAAAATCGACAATTCACTAACAATAATATCCGAAGCAACTTGTAATGCGACTGCACTCCAGAGATTTCGTGCCTACATGTTGCACATCCGGATTCCGAAAAACCTCATGAGAAAGGCAGTGTGAGTTACTGGGTCTCCCCCCCATAGAAGCATTTCATTTCAAACAATCTCACATTGAATTCTTCCATAGGGGAATGCACCATACTCTAAAATATTGATATCATTTGTAACCAAAACCAGTGCGTGGAAACATCGCGGGAAGCGTGGCCGTATTCATCGTCACGCGTGACTTCTACCGCATCTTGCATGTCTCCACTGCTCAGCACTCTCCGGGTCTTTTGCATCTTCATCCTCTCCGCTAAGAGTCATGTGCTGGCAAATTTGTTGCTGCGCCTGATACGTGCGCCTTAAGCGAGTTGGGCTTCTTTGCGTCTAAATGGGGCTTTCATCTGTTGGTTGTGGTGCTTGTCTTGGTACGGGAAACTCCTGACTCCTAGGATTCTAACCAAGGTACTCAAATCTCTTTCCGCTGTGAACATTTCTAGTGCCGTGGTTTTTGAGAAGTCGAGTAGAAAGTATGCTATGATACCTTTCTATTATGATTGCGGTCGCTTCCTTCGTCGTTGAACTACTCTGATGTTGGGTGACACGTCGGGCTTGGTCGGCACCACGCCAAGCACCGTAAGGCGACCGCCAAGTCAGGCGGTGGCGGTGCACTCTGCATGGCAGTTTTCCATCAGGCAACACCTTCCATTCTTACACGGGTCGTCGGTTGCAGCTAAAAAGATGGAAGTCAGCCTTAGCAGTACTCTTTCCCAATCGTGTTTAACTGCGTCATCCCCCTTCCTGCGTCATTCTTCATTCCGCACCTCATCTCGCCACCATCTTCACTCGCGCACATAATACCCCTGTTTCCTGTCCGCAATATTTTCGGAAGCCGACCCGAACCTCACAAACTATCAAGTACCCTACAGCCAATACAAACGTCAAAAGAATCATGGCAGAAACAAACGAATACATGAGTATCGATCCTCCAACGTATGAGGTCGCGTCTCAGCCAGGCCAGGAACTGTGTCAACCCACCACCCTCATCCTCGCGGCGCAATCTATCCATGTAATGACACCAGACTCACCACCTCTCTACCGCCTGAGCCTTGGAATTGCAGACCTTACGGATATTACCACAGAAGTGGAATTGTCGCGGATCGAGTCAAGGAAAGACGGCTCAGAACGCGAACGTCACATTTACGACCTGCTGCACATGCGCTTGGGGCCGGGTGGCTACACAAGGCTGCCGTCTGACTCCCCAAAGTACCACATCAAACGCCAAACCCGAGCTATCCCTGGACTGCAGGACCTGGGCATGAAGAAAAGCCACTCGCTCAAACCAGGAAAGAAGCGCTTCGCCGCGGTGCCCGTCGATGTTTACGGGAAGACCAGCAAAGTCGGCATCACCAATTTTGTCAAGGGCGCAGAAGCCGTGTTCACCACGGATGGGCATGAATGGGCAGACTCTCAGGGTAACTCTGTGGCTATCATGCACGACAATGAAGACAAGCAGCATAGTTTAGTTGTGACAGCAACCCTAACGCGCGCCCAATTCCACATGCTTGTGGCTTTGTGGTGCTGCCATGTCTGGGAGTATGGATTGGCTCATGCTGAGAAGGTGCATCAGGGGATTGACGGAGGTAAGTCCTGGAATTGAGTGCACAACAATCGCAGGCTAATTGAGCCGGGATCAAGAATGTCGCTGACTTGTGATCTGATGTCTAGTAAGACGAAAGATGGCATTGGCCAAAGACTTCGGCTTTCGTGGAGGATCATCAAGTAAGTGGCCTTCTCTCTGATTGATTCACCCAAATCGTTCCCAAGACATCTAAGCTAATGATTAAAACTTCAGTCTTATCGGCGGGAGCAGGGTCTGTTTGAGTTTGTGTCTCCCTGGAGACTTGGCTTTTTCTGCGGAACGAATCACGGGCATGGCATTCGAGCAATAAACTGCTCAAGCAGCACTTCAACCTCCTGAGTTTCTACTGCATTAATAATTAGACATACGTTGATACCCTATTTCTTAAGTTGTTCAATTTCAAATCCGCCTTCGCGAAACGTGCCTCTCTTGCGCTATTGCCACTCCCTCTCAAGCCAATGACCACTACTGCCATTGAGACACCCCACCAACTATCCCTTCTAATCAAGGCTGATGCGCGATTTGGTTGATTGTAATTGCACCAGAGCCTTGCGCCACAAGACGGTAATTAGGCAGTTGTTCCCATCGACGACTTCTTATGCCCAATAGACGACAATCTTTTTCTCCTTAAGCCTTCAATATGTCTTTTCTCTCCATGAAGATGGTACGGCGTATCGTCTCATACTTATTTAGCTGTGATATAGTGCTATTCAATAGCATTCTTTGGCAGAGACGCCTGCCGTGGATGAAGCTCCAACGTTCATCATGTTAATGGTACAGCGTGGCAGAGCTGCAGGGGGGCTGCAGGCTCAATCACTACTTCGGAAATATGATAGCTTACAACGTCGGTCTTACATGGTGTGAAAGATGCAGGTGTATTATTAGTGGCGCAGTAAGTAATCTTGTCCATCACATTCGCAAGGATTTTATGCCAAGGGTGTCCATACCTCAGCCTGCTTGATGGCTCAGCCTGATCTTCATGATAGTCCTTGTGAACAGCAGAATCTCCAGCAAGCCAGCGTTGGCCTTCGAAAAGGCGCGAAAGCTCCCCGTATCCTTCCATAGAGGTAATAAGTTTGCTTGTCAAAGTTTATGTCCCGCAAGAGAGCAAGTCACAGAGAATACTGGCGGTGGAGAGTCTTTCTGCATCCATGATTATTGCACGGCGGCTCCATCAGCCGCAACGGCGGGCGGCAGTAATATGCATCAAGTGGTACATTTGAGGTAGTACAAAAGTGAGATGGTTACCGGAAAGGGGAATACATACCGCCTTATCTTCTGCAACTTCACTTGCACTGCCAATAGTAAAGCACTATTGGTAGCCTGATTGGAATACCTATGCGGTGCTGCCTTTTTCTGTCAATTCATGCTGAAAGCACATATCACTATTTGGGTCATGCCTCATTGTTGCCCAGATACTTTCTTGACTCGACTGACAGCATTCAGGTTCTCGTTTACTTTTACACTCGTTCAAACAGCGTCACTCTCATCCAACTGATTGACAATACCTCCGGACAACTATTTCTCGAACGCAGGCGTGCCTCTTACCCCGTTGTCGCCCGACTGGGATGACGTGCGAAAGACAGAGCAACGCGTCTTTAAAGCTTCGCATCCATCCCCGCCCTCGACACCAGCCGCGAAAGATCCCATCGCCGAGGAGCCCAACCCCCGAGTTCTTCTTGCTCGAAGACTCTGGGACAAAACATGGCTGATTCACTTTGCTGCAGTCGTCTTCACAGGAGCTGTGGTTCAATTTACTTTCCGGGAGTTCTACTGGTTCGACGAGGACAGCTGGGACAGCGCGTGGCTCTCGCATATCGCCAGGCAGGACGTCACCATCAACGTCCTGCAATTCGTCGCCAAAGTCCACGAAATCCTTATTGTCGCCTCTGTGTCTGCGATGGTGATGCACGCTTGTCGCCGGATGCTGGTGTGAGATGGGATACCGTTTGGCTGCCTTACTGGGGCCTACCAGGTCAGCTCGGCTGAATGGCTCTTTTCCAAGAACTATATATGGGCCGCGAAGAAGCGACACTCGAACACCAGTTCAAGACACTACATCTCTACCCGAAAGAACGTTGCTATGGGCTTCGCTGCGCTATGCATCTGCGTCTACTGCAACACCGTCGGTCCCTCCTCTGCGATTGCTGTAATACCGGAGTTGAATTGGTGGCAAGTCAAAGATTCCCTCCACGACAGCATTGGGGCTTCATATGTGAAAACCTCGCCTGATGAATTCTTTCTCCCGGCTCTGTCACATGTGTTCTATCCATACAGGTGCACCTACGGGGTTTCTGACGTCAAAACCTGGTTTCCTCAATCTGGTTACGACGAGCTACAGATGTGGGCCGAAACCATCGCCGGTGGAGGCCCATCCTCGCCCATGGATATCACCCAGGCAGACAGCGGAGTGCGACGTCAAGTCTCTTCGTCAACCATGGGGCGAGATAAAAAAGACAAGACTGCGAAGGACAATGTTTGCCTTCTGGCTGTCGCCACCACCCCTCACTCTTTATTGACGGAGCTATCCGGTGCCTTCTGGACCTACGTTAACGCACATGAGATCTCTGGCGTTAACAAAATCGGACGCCCACAGCTTTACCCCGAAGAAGACGTTTTTTCGCCGTTGGTTCAGGTTCAATGCAAAATCTTTGCATACACGGACATCCAAAAAGCTATTCGTGGCGATGACGCCCTCAGGCCTTATTTTGACACCAGCGAGATGCGTAACTTCACAGCTCTGGCTAAACGGGAGCCTGGCTGGTATTAAGACAATACTTGGCCCGTTCCTGAGGAGTTCTGGAACTATGACCGGGACCAGGAGAGCCTTACCAGAACCAACTTCACATGGGTCGATGCGGCAGCCATATTCCCTGACAAGAGCCCTTCTCTCGCTTCAATACTTGAAGTGCCGATGGAGATTTGCAGGAATGATAACTGCGCTCAGGACAGTCTTATTATCCCATGCATGATAGACGCCCGCTGGGCCGGGGTAGACGTATCTCTCGATTCCAACAAGGACCGCCTTCTCCAACACAACATATCAGATCTCTCCAAAGCATTGCAGGAGAAATGGGACGATCCCGAAGTACACAAATGGAAGGGCTTGCATTCGCTCACACGCAGGAATGTGCCAATCTCAGCGGCCTGGGCTAACCTGTTGAATGAACCCATGAATGATACGCGTTCTGGAAGCGGAGAAGTGATTAAAGCCACAACAGCCATGGATTCGCTCTTTGAGAAGTTTGTCTACTCCTCAGAATCTTCCAACAGGATCTTTAAGGCGCCACTCTTCAAAGAAGACACGCCATTTCCACAGATGGTCGACTCCGTTGGACGAACGGTAGCCAGAGTCATTTCTCACACTTTGGTCGATGGGATGAGTCGTGTGACGTACTGGAAAGACTTGGGTTTAGTACGAGACGACTACAATAATGGCACATTCTCGGCGGTTGACCTCACCAATATCGCAGGGGGGTTGATTGCTGAACCCGAAAACACAAACATGACGAAGCTAGCAGATTGGACTACATTCCATTGGAAGCTCAGGAAATACGGCTGTGGTTTCGGATTCGCTAGTCGGACTATCCAGTTCGGTGTGGTGATTCTTCTTGCCCATGTTGCCATGGTTCTTGTTTACACCCTGCACATCCTCTTATTTCGATTTTCGAAGAGGGGTTGGTCGAGCGGCGCGTGGGGGGGTTTGGACGAAATGTTGTTGTTGGCAATAACGTCTCGGCCGACAGAGATCACACGGGGCGCCGGCACCGGAATTTCGAGCAACAGGATGTTCGAAGCACGCACTAGGGTGCGAGAAAGGGGAACCGATGGCGTCGAGCTGATTGTGGGCGAGGTCATGGAGGATGAGCACAAGCTTCGCAGGGAAAAGGAATATGCTTGAGCAGGGGACCGTCCGACTGACCCGGGGTAGGTCAAAACCAGGAAGTCTGGTAATTGAGCGGCCTCAACCTCTCATTGCAGACTTTCATCAAGTCATAAATCGGCAATGGGTCGTGCTTGTGGCAGCATGTTGTCCGGCAACCATATGCTTTACCTCTAAACCAGAGATTTCCTCAGGTGTTCCCAGATGACAATTGCTCAAATCGGAGCTTGAATCGTATGAGTTAGGCCGACTTAATGATTGTGTCATTACAGTAGTTAATATTATTTTGAATATAGAAGGGGCGCAACACAATTTAGATTGCTGCTTTAAAATTAGTCATACAGGGTAATAACGTGTGTGCCGCTTTAGGATGCGGCAGAATCGTTATTAGCGTCTCATATTAGATCATTCTGTACTGAAGAGAATGGACGCTAGTTGTCGCATTTTTAAGGGTCACATACAAGCTCTCTGTGTGTGGTCCTCAGCCTGGCGCTACCACACCGATTTGGCATCTTTAGTAAGATGACGGGCACTATGCAGAGTTTGGGCAGATGATCGTCCCGATATGAAACGTTCAAGCCAATGAAGTGCCCAGCATTCGCTTTCTCTCTTTCTAAGCGATTCTACTGGTGTCTGCATTGTCTTAATGTTGCCTGACGATCTGCATCTACCCCCAAACGGGCGGTGCATTGAGCTAAATTAGTCCCAAACTGTGTACTGGAAATGGGGCTGGCTATCTATTCCCCCACGCATTTGTGGAAGGCGACCACCACAAGTCTCAATCATTGCCCTCCCACCTCATTTGAGGCTTATAAAGAAGGCCCCGGTGCATGCCAACAAATAGCCTTGCAAATCAAAAGTTTGAGCTTGGGAAGAAGTTGATGAACATTGCCGATAATACCGCCTCAAACCCTCAACAATGTCTCACAGTTGGCGACGAAGTCACGGTGGCGACATTGATGACGCTTTCGAATCCGAGTATATCCCACTGACACGTTTGAAACAATCAAAACTCAATGAGGCCGACGTGGCCGTGGGAGAGAACAGATCAGTGTCGAAGGCGCAGGTACTGCTGAGGCGTTCTTGGCCGAGTCTGATCTTTGACGTCGCCTTAGCACTCTTGCCTATAGCCTTTCTCTGTAAGGCTTGCAAGCAAGCAACCAGGACTATGGGTTTAGTGTTGACTTTTAAATGCAGTTCTGCTGATATCCGCAGCAATGCAGCACAGAAAGCCGCAGTCAGTCAGAGGCGATCGAATTTTAGACGCTCTGCTTCTGTCGCCCACCGTATTCCCCATAGTTTTTGCTGCCATATGTGGCAGGGCTATGAAGTCTATTGCTTTATACCAGAGCCAGAAGGGAGCGTCTCTGCGTGTAAGTCTTCGTGCCCGAACACGTGTATCGCACAAGAAGATTTGGCTTACAGGACGCAATTGAAAAAGCTTTTGGAACACCTGTCTGGTGCAAGCTCTTTATTCTCAGCGCTAGAACGCGTCGTTACTCTGAGAAGCTTTGGCATTGTCGGCATCACCACGGCCCTCTTATGGGCCTCGTCACCTATTGGTGGCCAGGCTCTCAGCCTACGTCTACTATCAAAGCAAAGCTTCTATGCTCAGTCCACTCGATTTGCAACTTACCTGGGTCCCGACTTTTTGGACAAGAATTGGTTGGAGTCATCATCTGGTTCTGCATCGATGCTCTCTAGAGTGACATCGATATATCTCTCTTCACTTTCGTCTTCCCATGAAGTACGTGGATCGCCGAGGGATGTCTGGGGCAATCCGAAGACATCGATCCCTGCCTCTGATGTAAGCGGCACCAATAGTTCTGAATGGAGGTCTATCATCAACGGAAGCGACACTTCCACTTACGCCAATTTGATTGGAATTCCCCTCAAAGCGTTCTCGGAGGGCACAACCTCTGAAATGGTAGTTTCATCGATTGACATGGATGTCCGATGCTCATCCTTGGAATTTACAGACACAGAAACATTCAAGAAAAACCTCAAGGAACCACTTGTGGTCAATCCTGCGGGTGGCGGTACTTTTCCGAATGGAACTACTTCCATCGTCCTTCCCACGACGCATCCTTTCACTGGCTCGACGACCACATTTCTTTACGTTACTAATGCCTCATGGACTCAGTTCGCGTTCGATAATACGCATCCTCTCACAATTTTCTATGGCTCGCAAACGTATGCAAAAACAGCCTCATTGTATCCCAAAGTCGGGTTTCCTGTTTCTCTGGCGACGTGCACCATGTTGCCTCGCGGTCTGGAGACAAAAGTGGCTTGCACCGCAAACGTGTGTCAGGCAGTAGCAGCCCGACGAGTGCCAGCTAAGCTGAAAACCCCTGGGCCCATTCTGCAAATCATGCGTGGCGGTCACTTCTGCGGGATGGGCAGTTCGTACCACATTGGTCAGGCGAGCCAGACCGAGCACTTCATCGTCGACGGGTTCGTGAGCGACAACACTGAACAACTTCTCAGTTTATATCAGGTTCCGCTGGCAGTTTTTGAGACACGATTCCGGCAGGCCATGAACACTTTCTGGTATGCTGTCGCATCTGTGGTATTTGCTACAGGTAACCTGACATCCGTTGACGTTCAGGAATACTTGCTGCGGACACCGGCGTCCGTGACAGAGGATCTTGGTCCCCATTACGTCTGCCATTGGACGTGGTTCTGGCTGGGCCTTGCTATTGTGGCTTTGCTCGAGGGTTTGGCCGTCGCCAACACGATACTACGCTTTCGGACGCATATTCCTGACATCTTTGGTTATGTCAGCTCTTTGACCTTGGCAAATAAGCACTGCAAGGGCGAAGAGATAGAGCAAAGCTCTGCGTTAGATGGGCTACAAAGGGCGAGAGCGCTAGGGCATGTGCGGTTCCAGCTTGCCGATGTGAAGGGCGAGGAAGATGTTGGCAAAATTGCATTCGTACCACTTGGAGTTCAGGATGAGCTCGAAACAAGTAGAGTTAGGATCAATCGGCTGTACAGCTAGGCCCAAGATAAGGAGGAATGCTGCCTGAGAATCATGATCAACGTCGCGACACATTGAGTCACTTGTTCCTCTTGTGCAGCAATATTTCGACAATACTTTGATTACGAGAAGTAATAATGACAGAGCTATCGGGATGTGACGCGAATTAGCTTTTAGTTTGCGTGTTTTGGTTACGCTATCCGTCAAGCAAATTTCACCGGGATTACGCAGGAAAGAAAACACTGCTTAATGTCGGCATCAGTCATTACCTTTGGTTACCAAAACTGACACCACAAATTGTCGTAAGCCATTGGTCTCAACACAATAGATATTCTGGGAACTCCAGCTGGCCTCCAAGATCTCGACCTTTCTTTATGCTCAATTGAGATTGGTGCGTATCGTTCCATGATTGAATTCGATGCTAGGTATCTTAGCTGCATCAATCCGTATTTGCATTTTTGACACTCTGTAAATCATTTGAGATCCTTAGGTTCCGTTGAAATCCAGAGTTTGAGATGAGCCACCGGAAAGCTTACTTGCTGCGGCTCTCGCACAACGGCCATTCTAGGAAAGTGGGCTTCGTCTGCAATAGCGTCAATTTCTGACCTCATGGGTCATGTTAGAAGTCAACTACAACGACTTGTGAAAAGTTGGCCAGACTTAACGTCTACTCGTGCACAATCTAAACCTTAACTCCGTACCTCAACACGGTCTTAATGATTTATCCCCCAGCCGCGCATCCCGAAAACGCGAGTTAGTCGGAAGACGCTTACGCCCGGCCCCAACTTAAACTTTGAACCCCGGACTTTCGCCAGGGGCACCCCTGGGCCGGCCGTTCAAAGCCCGGCTGGCCCAACGTTCAACTGAGTTGTCACCGAGAATTGCTCTTTGCATTCGAGTATAATAT